CGCTTGGACAGTCCTAGTGCTTTTTGCTCTACAGCAAAAACAACGTCCTGGCTCTATCCCTCTTCGGTTTGCTGACTTTTAGTGGGTATCTCCGCTTTTCTTCTTCCGAATACGTAAAAGAACTTCAGCGAAACTGTATAGTTCCCGACTAGTCCTTATTTTTTCTGTCACTGAAGGATGTACATGGGGCAGAACGGTACGAGCGAATCATGGAGTTTACAATTTCCCGCAACGGAGCCTCCAGCTGTTAGTTCGCCTAAAGCTGAAACACCGGTAAGCTTTGGTGGACCGCTTACTTTGATCGTTTTCGGAGGTGAAGCAGTGGAAGCAACCGCTTACTTCTTTGAAGAAAACGAGATATTTGCACCGAATCCTCGTTTTGCGCACTGGAAGGTATGCTTTGTTATGTGTTGCTGAAACAGTTTGGTCATGTTCGCTCATCCCTATTCGCTCAGTGACCCCTTTGGCCACACATTCACTTACCAGACGTAATGATTTTGAACAAACCAAGTTTAATTTGTTATTTCCAAAGAATTTGGCACTGGTTTGGTTGAAATTATCTCAAACTAATTACTTTTGCCTCACACCCCCAAACCCGACTTTTTCTATGCCCTGTTTTAGCCAGCACTGCATTCTTACCAGTGACACTAATTGGATTACTGCGTGGCCAAGGATTCTTAAAAGGACGTTTTTTGTTAGGAAATTGTTTGCGAAGTTATGTTGATAAAGAGAAATTCAGGTAGCAATAACTGGCCAACGCACGGCTGCCCGTTTGAAAATGCGTTTCTTGCACAGTTCCCTGCAGGTTTTGCCGCTACCGGCATCGTTTTTTTTTTTTGGGCAAATGCTTCTGACTAAACAAATTAAGACTGGCCGCCAGAACTGCCAGTAAACACCCCTTAAAATTTCAGCCTTCTAGCTTTCCTGGCTCCTGAGTTAGCAACTTACTGGAAAAATTTCACGTTCCCGTACGTGGACTGCACGTACCTGATGTCTGAGTTTGAGCTCGCTGACTTACGTAGACGGGAAACATCCTCTTAAAACTACAGTCTTCTAATACTCGAATGCTGGGTTTGAGCTGAGTGAGACTTAGTTGGACGGAGAATATCCTCTTAAAATTACATTCGTTGGCTTTTCAAATTCTCAAGTTAGCGACTTACCCGAAAAAAATTTTGGCGGGCCCGTACATGGGTACCACGCATACCCGGAGGCTGAGTATGAACTCATTAATACCCACTTGGACGGGCATTAATATCCACTTTTGGTCGTAAAAGAGTATTTAACATTCTCCAAAAGTTTCAGCTTTCTGGTTTTCCTCGTTCCTGAGTTAGCAATTTTCCCGCCAGTATTTTCGCGCACCCGTATGTGAACCCCACGCTACCGGTCTCGAGGCTCAGCGAAGGCGCCATAAGCAGCTGAATTTGAAACCTTTAGTCACACATGGGGAGGGAACATTACCCTAAAGTTTCAGCTTCCTAGCTTTTCCCGTCCCAGAGTTAGCAGATTTCCTGCCAAAAATCTCATGTGTGTATATGCGAGACGTAGACATACGTGACAAATGATATCACATTTCTGGAGTCGCACTCGGCCAGGAACACATTGGAAAAATTTCAGCACCAAAACTTGCGTAGTTGGCGAGAAGAATTACCCGGACAGACGAACACACAAACACACACACACACACATAAATATATATATGTATACCCACACACAGGCAGGATCGTTTTAATGTACGTTTTGGCTGCTTTTTGCAATGCTCTAGCACTGCACAGCAAAAACGCATAAAAGTAGTTTGCTTTAGAAAAATGTAAGCATGGACCAGGAAAGTTCTTGAATTTAAGCTTCCTACTTTCTCTGGCCGTAGAACTGAGAAGGATAGCAAAAACCGAATACGTTCACACAAGCACACCCACCCATCCACACACCATACACGCATACTCTCGTTGATACGCGTTTTTGAATTCCGTCAAACTTGCAAAAATGCATAAAAGTGGAAAACTAAAATGTAAAATATCGGTGAAACACAACACTCGCCAGCAAACGTTAAGTCACAGCATCGACGAAACAAAAAGTCGCTCTTCTAGCAATCCCTCACGCAATGGAAGTTAGAAATAGCAAAGCCAAAACAAAAAAGTAATTTGGGTAGCATCAAAACACAGTGCTTTACCGCAAAATCTCAATTTTTAACGAGGGTAGATGATTGATTAGATGATGGATTCGAAAACTTGCAGGCTACGGAGTATCGAGAAACCGTGTCTGGAGCCAAACAAGTGATTGGTTTCTACGGGTGTTACGACGAACAAACACCAGAAGGACAAATTCTTTTGTATGTCTCTGAATTCAGCCAGAAAATCTTTCTGTGGTGTTTAGATACAAAAAAAAAAAAATAACATTAACGGTGTTTCAATTATCTTTAAAATATTTTCATCTCACCTGTCGTGATATGGCACTCACTACAACAGTTACTTTGATAAAGGTATGAAATGATTATTATATCGCAAAATGTAAAACCACCACTTTCACAATGAGTATTAGGATCACCCTGATCAAGATGAGAATACATAACCGATGCAAGGTCTTCGGGGCCTCTAGGGTGCAACTACTCTTGTGACAACGCTTAAGAAAGATGTTTTTCTGGCTTCTCAAGATTTGAGCAAATGCCACTTTTCATCGAGCTATCTTAAGGGAACAGCTTCAAAGCGATGGTGTTCAGTTGGTACAGCTAAGCGACTACTTCTGGATGTTTGGAACTGCTAAATCGCAGATAAATGTTGAAGAGGTGTTTTGCAAAGCAGACCAGGATAATAAAGGACTTTTTATCGTCAGTTTCCAGTGAATCTAGCCGGCGGAGCGATGCATTTTTGATCAGTTCCCAAATGATTCTTTGCTAGCTATTCTATAACACACTTAATCCGGTATGATTGAAAGAAATAATTCTTACTTTGCTATATTTTCGAACAAGCAGTGTTAATACACTTTGAAGGTATGCAGCTCAGGACTAAAAGGCTTGCCTTGGCTGCACATTAATCGTTGCCAATCCCTCACTAGCGCCTTTGTTCCTCTTGTCTATTCCGTCTCCAGTCTATGCCCCGAAGCCTCATCTACACATACATGAGGGGGTATAAGGGTGGGTTACGATAGAGGTGAGAAAAAAAAGCTAAAGAGGAACAAAGAATAATTAGCATAACATTTTATTTTAAACAAATAACAAGAAGCTGAAGAATATTTACAATCCGAGCATGACCTCACACACTTAAACCACCACGCCTGGCCTCTGTCCCTCAGCACCCTTCCCTCCGCTTCTACTCACTGCCTTCTTACTGCACAGTCACTGCAGTTTATTGCCAAGACGGCAGAGCCGAGCTGAATTTTGGTAATTGTCCACTTCTCCAATGCAATTCTGGACATCCTGTCCGGTCTAAGCGGTACAAGCACCAACAGTATGCATCGGAAAGGAACACTGGAAGCCACACATACACAACCAAGACAGTACCACAGGTCGACCACACGTGACCAGCAAAGACCGAAAGAGCGATTGTCAAGCGTGGTTGCAGGCCACGCACTTAGCAATTGCCAAGCGTGGTTGCAGGTCGCAACTACACACTGTCTCATTCGCGTGTAATTTTTAATCTCTCCGCGTCGCTGTTTTTTTACGAATTCTTTTCTCTCTGTTTTTCTGTTCTCTCTTCTACCCCACTCAGTCTCTTCAGCCATATTAGATTTGCTGTTTTAATACTTCCTGATGGCAATTACTAAAGATCAGGGCAGTTACAATAATTACTGCTATCTCCAGTTCTTCCCTCGAGTTGCTGACTTGCATCATCGTCCCCCTTCTCTACCTTGTCCAAAATCCTGCTAACAAACAAGATATAACCCCCTCTCCATCCCTATTATAAAATCACTGTTGAAACAAACAGTATTTACTTTTCCCTACCCTAAGGTATCTACGGTAAAAACCAGGAGCACATTTCCTCATCCTTTCCGTTCTTTATCGCGCTCCTCTCCCCTCCAAATGTACGTTACTCAGTCAATCGGCAAAGGATCTACTCTATTTAGTCCTTATATCCACTTATTCTAGCCCCTCTCCTCTGCCTTGAACGAAATCCACTACATCCCACCCCCACTTCCGCCTGCCACATTCAAACTGCCGCCATCCGCGATGGGGCAGTCTTACCTGCTGTCGGGAGAAAAAATTTTTTGCAGCTCGCGTATAAGACGAGCCGAGCCGAGCCGAGTTTTTGTAACTGTCCAAACCATCAATGCGCAGCAGGGAAGTTAAGTAGTAATTAATACACCTAGGCTCTACTCGGCCGCTGTTCTAGTATCTCTGCTAACGCTATTTCATGGCACCACTTGCCAGCACCGCTTGGCACCTTGCTGGGCATTATGAGGGTGCCGGGCGAGGGATAGCGTGGTTGGGGATGGGTAGCGGTGGGTGCCAAGATACGGCTCGGGAGCGGGGCGAGAGGGCGGGGGAGGGAGGGTAGGGATTACTGACAAAGTAGGGGGAAGGACAGGGGCACTAGTAAGGAGTTGGAGACGATTAATGGTGTCAGTGATTGGGGTGTGGTGGGTAATGGGTACCCAGACGCCGCTCTGGAGGCAGGATTTGAGGGCAGGACAGAGGAGGGGAACAAAGATACCAGTCAGGAGTTCGGAACAAGAACTGGAGACAGTAGCAAACAGGAAGGGACAACAGAGCAGTACAAGAAAACTAAATTAAAGAAAACCTGAACTTATTAAAAATAAAAAAAAAGCGGAATGGAAGAACCAAAACCTAAAAATAAAAGCTGAAGAAAGCAAAAGCAAACAAAAACTGAGAAAGCGAAAGTAAAAATAAATAAAAAACTTAGCAAAAGGACAAATTATAAGTGGAAATTGCCTTATAAAAGCCGTTTGCATTGGTGGGCTTCCAAATTTGCGAAACTGATGTTTAGATAAGGCTGAGAGTTCTCAGTTTTACCTAAGCAGCTTTACCTTATTCGCGCTCAGCTTTATCTAAGCATCAGCTTTCTTTACCGGGGAGGGGGGGCTTTTCTTAGCGGGCTTTTCTTTTGTTTTCACTTCTTTTTGTTTTTACTCATAGCTTCAGATTTTTTTTTTTTTATTTTGCTTTTATTCCTGCGCCTAGGCTTGCTTCAGTTTAAGTTTGTTTGTAGTGCTTTGGTTTCTTTCCCTTCACTGTTGTTTGCAGTTTTTGTCCCGAGCTCTTGACTTGTATCCTCGTTCCCCTTTTTCACTCTGTCCAGAAATCCTGCCTGCAAATCAACATCTGAGCTCTTTTCCATCTCCGCTATAAGAGCACCCTGGAAGCAGGCAGTACTTCAGCCGTCTCCCTACTCCACGTATCTGCAGCAAAAACCAGCAACACGGCTCCTCCTCCTTTCCACCCAACCTTCCCTTTTCCCTCTCGTAGC